GTGAGTGTATGTGTGTGTGTGTGTGTGTGTGTGTGTGTGTGGCCAAATAATCATTTTATATTTAATACGTTTTAAATGCTTTTGGTTTTCTATTTCTTTTTCTTTTGGAGACAGAGTCCTATGCTGGCCTTGAACTTACTGTGTAGCCTGGATGGCCTTGAACTCTGCTTCCCCAATGTTGCTATGGTAGCTGTATGCTGCAATATCTAGCTTTTAAATGCTTTGTAGGAGAAAACTTATTTGTAAAAACTTTCTTGTTAATTTCTTTGAAAATATAACTGACAGCTCCTAAAAGAACAAATTCATCAATGTTTTCAAAATTCACATTAAAATATGTAAAAATATTGCTTTCATCAATTTTCAATTAAAGTGTGATTATTATGCAAACTTTTATACATTTTTATAACTCAGTTTTCTATTGTTTTTAGCTACTGATGCAAATGTGAAGAATGAAAGTCTTTCATCTGTGCAGCAGCTTGGCATTAAAATGACTGTCAGGTACGTAGGGAAATATCTCCCTCATGCATTCCTAGAATTCATCTGCCTGGTACATGCTTAATAATATTTAACAACCAACTATTTTGTATATTTTAAATGCAGAATTTATCACTCAGAAAATAATAACTTTATCTTTGAGGATATTGGCACCTGATTAAATTACCTCTGGCTATAAATCAGTTACAGCTCATCATTATTCCAAAAGCTAATTACAGTGTCTTTCTCTTTGAGTAACTTTCTTCCCCCAAAACAGCATTGTAAAAATCATCATGTTGTGGCTCGATCATATATTTTCTAAAGCATGATTAGTTCTAGTTGTCAGGTTATGGTAAGGAGCATGATATACCTTAAGGATAGATACGGAAGTTTAATGCATAAGCCAAATTTGTTGTGGTTTGAATTTTAAAAGTCATACTACAGTTTACAAGAGAAATGAGCACACTAAATCAAGAACTAGATATTAAACCTCCCTTTCATCTTTATTAAATGAGGATCTTAACAGTCCCATCGTAATTATTGCCTTCAGAATCAAATATAAAAAGGCACATATGAGAGCTATGAAAATCTGAGTCCAGGGACTGGAGAGATGGCTCAGTCATTAAGAGCACTGGTTGCTTTTGCAGAGGATCTGGGTTCAGGTTCAGTTCCCAGCACCCACATGGTGGCTAACAACCATCCATAACTCCAGTTCCAGGTGGATCTAATGCCCTTTTCTGTCCTCTACAGGCATTGCATGCACAGGTACACTTACATATATACAAGCAAAACATACACATAAAATTAAAATACATTGGAAAAAAAAAAGACTAAGTCTTAGGCAGGACATATTGGTGCATATCTTTAGTTCCAGTACTTGGGAGACAGAGGCAGGTGGATCTCTATGGGCTCATAGCTAACCTGGTTTACATAGTGAGTTCCAGGAAAGCCACTGGTACATAGTGAGACCCTGTCTAAAAAAAAAAAAATCAAAAACCAAAAACAAATATAAAGACCGAGTCTTACAAATGTCCATCATGATAAAAATGATTGCATGGGTTTTAGTTCATCCACCTGTACCAGAGTGTGTAGCTATTTTGTTCAGCTCCATTTACAATTTTTAACCCAAGAATGGTGCAGGACCCTATTTCCAATGAAATATAACATATAGATTTTTTATAAGCAGTCTGGTCACATATTTTTAACCCAGTGTAATATCTTATTTGTAGAAAGTTAATGGACAATATAGTGTTTATAGTTGGCATCCACATCAGAATCATTAGACTTATGAAAGCAACAAATGCACTAAATACTACAAGGAGTGTTGCCACTAAGAAGGAGAATTCATAAGATACACACCAAATAAGATCTCAGTAAGGCTGAAAATGGACCAAATGTACTATTTTGCCTTGATTAAAACAGCGTGTATAAAAAACTAGGAGTTTGGCCGGGCATGGTGGTGCACGCCTTTAATCCCAGCACCTAGGAGGCAGAAGCAGGCAGATCTCTGTGAGTTCAAGGCCAACCTGGTTTACATAGTGAGTTCCAGGACAGCTAGGGCTAAATAAAGGGAGACCCTGTCTCAAAAAGACCAAAAAAAAAAACAAAAAACAAAAAACAAAAAAACCCTAGGAGTTTATATAAAACAGAATTAGGTTCAGATAATTCTAAATAGCTGTTTGATCCATGTAAATATCAAGACATTTCAAGTTATGTCAGAGGACTGGCCCATGTCTAACTATCAGGCATGTGCTCCATGTGTGCCAATAGTGACCATAGTCAGAATCCAAAATGTCCCTATCAATGTCTAGTACCCATTATCAGTAGATGACATCCACAGTTAACTGTAGACCTAACATTCCATGAAGCTAAGCTCAGTATTATGTGTATAGATTAATTTCAGGAATGCATTGATGCATTCTCACAGGGTGCTAGCATTTTATTTTCTCAGTATTTTTCCTTCCTATAAAGTTAGCAGTTAATACTGCTAATCCAAACATGTGCTTATTAGGAATGTGTATTATGTACCTTGCTTAATGTAGTTGCACTAAAAGTAGAATAGTGAAAATTCAAACCTTCACATCTCAAGAACAATAAATGCACATCTATGGATTTCAAAAAATGAATGTATAATACAGATCCTAATTTCATTTTGCATATTTTTGGCTTTTTAACGTAGATATGGTAAATTTCTCAACCTGTTAGAAGATGGCTCAGAAAATGATCTTGCCTTGGTCTTAAAGCACTGTGAGAGATTCCTGAAACAACAGCAATTCCCTGTAACTTCTTCCCTTCATATCCTTTTTGAATGAATTTAGACATAATTGAAATTTCCTCATATATTTTCCACGGTTCTTTGATAGGATATGTTGTGATGTTTATAATAAATGCTATTGTAAGCAACTCTGTGATTCGTTACAGTGTATCCTTATGATATTGTATTCTGCATGTTAAACATGTATTTTGTTAAATATGATCATTAAACTCAGTTTTACTTGTTGAATCATAAAGTGAATGAAGTTATTCTGAAGGTATTTTCTTAAGGCATTTTCAGACAAATCAAGAATTTTTCTAAAAGTAGGCTTTGTAGATGTAGAAAAACAATAAGGGCTGCTGCTTTTTGGCACTGTATCCGTTTAGCATTTCGTTTATATTATTCAGAAATGGAATTTGACCTTATGAAAAAAATACAGATAGGAACTACCTACATTGCTAAAATATAAAAATGTATAGATTTTATTATGTCTTGTTATACTAGTCATTTAACAGATAACTGCAATTACAGAAAAAAAAGATACTTTTCTCTTAAATACTGAAATAGTATTTCCTCTGGTTGTAGTTGCCAACGGCTTTTCCCACACATACAAGTCAATGGGACATTAAAATAATAATTTTGGGTAGCAACTTGTTTATTTATTTACTTGTTTTTGTTACACTGCTAAGGATCAGACACAAAGCCTTGAGTGTACTAGGTAAGCACTCTACTACCACAGCCCATGGAAATTTATTTTTCATCTACAAATTTAACCCCAACGGGTTCAGATCCTCAGTCTCCAAAAGCTTAAAAACAAATTGAAGACACAGCAAGTACTACGTACATTTAGTATCTCTTTCTAGATAGAGATTTTAGAAGTGAATATTCATGAAATTCTTTATTTCATTATTTCATTTTGTATGGTACTGTGAAAGTTCCTTAACTGTTTTCCAGTGTGCCTGCAAGGACGTTATGCTGGCCATGACTGGTTTGTGTCTTCTCTATTCATGATCATGCTGGGGGACAAAGAGAAGACGCTCCAGTTTCTTCAGCAGTTTGCCAGACTTTTGACTTCTGCTTTCCTTTGGTTGCCACGGCTGCATATATCTGTAAGACTTAAAAACCTGTTTTTAAAGGAGGGTTGAACTTTTAAGGAATATTAGACTTAACTATATAGAATATTCTTTTATATAATTCATATTCATTTTCTCACATGAATGTTTTTGATATCTTTTGTTAAATTTGTCCTTTGACATTTTCATATGTATATAATGCGTTTTGATTACTTTCATCTCTACCCTCCCTTGTCTCTCTCCCACTCCTGTCAACCCTCCCATCCTCCTCTCTATCTAGCACCGAAGGTGTGTAGTGTCTTCAGTGGTAGGGTTTTATCAACTAATTCTTGTAGGCAACCAAGAGGAGTGGGAATAGCCTGTATTGTTTTGCTGTTCTCTGGGGCTTCCCTGGCCAACAACTCACAAGGAGGTACTCCACACTTGGCACTGGGACTTTTATTTAGTAACCCATTGTTTTTAGGAGCAGCATTATCCAGCCATGCGGGACATCTCCCTTCTAACAATTTAAAAATGTATATTTTACTGATTTTTTTTGAGACTTTCATATAGTGTATTTTGATCACATGCAGAACCTTCCCCTTCTCTACCTCCAGGTTACTTCACCCCTCGCTCAACTTCATATTCTTTATTGTTTTTGTTTTTGTTTTTTGGTTTTTTTGAGACAGGGTGTCCCTGTAGCCCCAGCTGGCCTGGAACTCACTATGTAGACTAGGCTGGCCTTGAACTCATGGAGATCTGCCTGTCTCTGCCTCACAAGTGCTCAGGTTCTAAAGGCATAAGCCACCACATTTTTTTTAGGAGGTCTATTGCATCTAATCTGTATTTCCCAAATGCTCCTGGGCAGTCTATACCCTTGAGCCTCATCAACCTACCCAGCATCACACCCTTAAACAAAACTCTTATTTTTTAACTTATATTTTAAAATTTGCATACAAAGTTGTGCATTTCCATATTTTTTATACCTCTTTTGTTTTGGTTAACCTTCCCTCTTGCCTCCTCAAACCCATCCCCCAGTTTCCCATTCCCATTTCCACCCCAGTGAACTAAATCCCTACTTTTATACTGCCTATGCTCTATCCCCCTTGCATTTAGGCATCAGTCACTGCCATGGCCCCTTTTGAGATCTACAGATGTTCCAAGATAAACACACAAATTTAAAAGTGTAAAGCTAGTATCCACATAAGGAAGAGACCATGTATTTATTTGTCTTTGTAGGCTTGGATTAACTCAGTGTATTTTTTTGTAGTTCTATCCATTTATCTGCAAATTTTACAATTTGATTTGTCTTGTCAGCTGAATAAGTTCCACTGTGTATATTTACCACATTTTAATTATCCATTCATAATTTGATGGCCATCAGACTGATTCCATTTCCTAGCTATTGTGAATGGAGCAGCGGTGAATATGGATAAGCAGGTATCACTGTAGCAAGATACAGAGTTCTTTCAGTGTATGCCCAGGGTGTTGTATAATTGTGTCATTTGGTAGTTCCATTTCTAGCTTTTTGAGGAACCTCCACACTTATTTTCATAGTGATAGTAGTAGTTTATACTCCAACCAGCATTGAGTAAAGTTCCTTTTTCCTCACATCCTCCCCAGCATTTGTTGTCGTTTGATTTATTGATGATAGTCATTCTGACTGGGCTGAAATGGAATCTCAAAGTAGTTTCAATTTGCATTTCCCTAATAGCTAATGATGTTGAACACTTTGAAATGTGTTTATTAGCTATTTGCATTTTGAGAACTCTAAGTTGATTCAGGTATTTCATACAATTGAGTGTGTGTGTGTGTGTGTGTGTGTGTGTGTGTGTTTGTGTTTGTTTGTGTGTGTTTATTCTAGATACTAATTCCCTGTCACATGAATACCTGGCACATATTTCTTGCTTTCTATTAACTGCCTCTTCACTCAATTGATTGTTTTCTTTGCAGTTCAGAAGTTGTTTACTTTCGTGAGGTTCCATTTGTCAATTGCTGGCCTTATTTCCTGTGCAACCAGAGTGTTATTAGAGAGTCCTCACCTATACCTGTATCCTGCAGTGACATACCTTACCTTTTCTTCTAGCGGTTTCAGAGTTTCAGGTTTTGTATTGATGTCTTTGATCCATTTTTGTGCAGAGTATGAGATAAGGTTCTTGTTCTTTCTTCTCTACCCAGACATCCAGTTTTCTTCACACTATTTTTTGAGGAGGCTTTTTTGGTTTTTTTTTTTTTTTCCTAGTGTGTATTTTTAGCTTTTTGTAAAAAATCAGATGGTCATCATTCTGTGGACTTATATCTGGCTCTTCTATTCTATTCCATTGGTCTACATGTCTGTTTTGGTGCCATTATTATGCTGTTTTTATTACTGCCTCTGCAGTATAAGTTGAGATCAGGTGTGATGCTGCCTCCAGCATCCTTCCTTTTGCTCAGGATTGCTTTACCTATCTGGAGTCTTTTGTACTTCTATGTAAAATTTATTTCTGTGAAGAATGGCTTAGGAATTTTTCTTTGGATTGCATTGAATTTGTAAATTGTTTATATTAGGTTCATTATTTTCACATTATTTATTCTCCTATTTATGAACATGGCAGCTGTTTCTGTCTTTTAATGTTGTCCTGTATTTCTTTGGAGTTTTAATGTTTTCATTATAAAGGTCCTTAGTTAAGTTTACTAAACCAAGATATTTTTTGAGAGTATTGTGAATAGGATTGTTTCTCTGATTTCTTCCTAGAAATAGAAAGGCTAGTGTTTTTTTTTTGCATTAATTTTGTATTCTACTATTGAAGGTATTTATCAGCTCTAAGAGGTTTGCTTGGTAGAGGATTTAGGGTCTCATACTTAGAATCATATCGTCTGGAAAGAGGGATGCTGTGACTTCTGTTCTATTTATATTCTTTTCTTTTCCTCTCTTGTTTTATGGCTCCAGCTAAGACTTTAAACTCTATACTGAATAGGAATAGAAAGAGTAGGCCTCCATTTTCTGTTTCTTTTCTTAGTGTGAATGTTTGGAGTTTTTCTTCATTTAGCATAATTTTGACTATAGATTTGTTGCATATGACCTTTATTATGTTGTGGTATACTCCCTTCATCCCTATTTTCTCCAGGTCTTTTATCATGAAGTGATACTGGATTTTGTCAAAACCTTTTCTGCATCTTTTGGGACGATCATATCATTTCTTTCTTTAAGTTCATTTATATGATCTGTGTTTATTGAATCCTCTGTGTATTTCTGGAATAAAGTCAGGGTGATGATGGTGAAAGATCTTTTGGATGTTCTCCATCCAGCATTCAGTTTGCAAGTGCTTTGTTAAAAATTTTTGCATCTGTTGTCTTCAGTGATACTGACCTAAGATTTCTTTTGTGTGTGTCTTTATCTGGTTCGGATATTAGAGTAATACTGGCCTTATAAAAATAGTTTGAAAGTATTCCTTCTCTTTCTGTCTTACGGAATAATTTGAGAAGAATTGGTTATAGTTCTTCTTTAAAGGTCTGATAAAATTCGATTCCAAATCCATCTGGCCATGAGATTTTTGTAGTTTTTTTGTTCTTACTACATTGATCTCCTTGCTTGTTACAGGTCTGTTAAGTTTCAGATCTCATCTTGATATAACTTTGGTGGATTACATACACCTAAAAGTTCATTCATTTCTTTTAGTTTTCCCAGCTTCGTGGACTATAGGGTTAAGTCTGCCCTTTTCTTTAGCTATTAATGTCAAACTTTATTCCTTCGTAGTTAGATGGAATAGAAGTACTATTTTCTTTTTTTCCCCCCAGTTGCTTCTTTTAATATTACTTGTGTGCATGTGCATTCTCAAAATTCTATGAATGGTACTAAACAGAAACTGCGTCATCTAGATCTTAGTACAGTGTCTCAATTTCACAGTGCAGTGAGTTAGTGAGATGTCAGGATGAACACAAAAGCAAGACTACAAACTGATTGCTTTCTTTTGGAGATTTTTTTTTCTTTTATAATCAATACCAAACAGACAGTAGAGGGAGGATGGAATGAGTAAGAAAAAGAAAATCATACTTTATTTTCCTGTTAACACTAAGCCATATATTCACAATGTGTTTCAAAATACTTAGAATGCCAACCCAGTCACTACCGTAATTCAAATATTCACTAAGAAAATAGTTAAGTGACAGAAATCCGTTGGGAGATACAACCTAGAGAGAACAGCTACATTGCTATGTATAATTTATGAATTTAGTAGGTTAGTCTCTCAATACATAGCAAGTTTATTTAAAAATTACTAACCCCCTTGGCTTATGGCAACGTTAATATAAATTTTTTTTTCAATAAAATATTTTTTTTTAATTAGGAGAAGCGTTTCATTACAACAGCATTAACCTATTCAATAACATTTTTTCTGAGCTACGGTACATCACTTTCAAAATTGTACATTTTTAGGTTTACAGATGAATTATTACGCTTATAAAATCTTTAACTCATTATAAACTCTATAAGACATAAAATTAAATGAGGTTCCAATGTTTAAAAAAGATCTCCACTTCGTTGTCAAAACACACAGTTTCATACAGAAAAATTCATTCCAAGGCAATTGACATTGAGACGTTTTCACATACATTTCTAATCTCTATATACATGACTATCACTGGTCACAGTTGCCCACCTTCTGAGCTCCTCGGCATCTGAGCATGAATACAAACTCGTCAGATAGACAGCCTTCTTCTCCCACTAGAGCCTCCATACTCTGCCATCGCTGCCACTATCTGCCCTTCTGGTAAATCTAGTCAGCCAGAGGGCACTGATCCAGGAGGATCAGCTGTTCCTCATCTACGCAATCTATTGTCAATATTCCTTTGGATAGAATTGGGGTCTGCTGTTCATTTTTCCTGTAGTATGTTGGGTTAATGTATGGAAGAGCCTTTATCTATCCTGGCCAACAA